AAGTTACAAGTGAATGAGAGAAAGACAGAGAGACTGAGCTTGTGAGAGCAAATAGTGGGAAGGAAGGAAAATAATTGGGACAGAGGAATTCCAGCTCCTGGCTGTCTAGTGTGTCCCAGCCCATCAGCGAACCTGCGGGATGGTTAGCATCATTCCAGTTTTGCAGATTAGGAAACAGGCTGAAAGAGACGGGGATTGGCTTCGGGTGCACAGTTAATTTAAGTGCCACTGGACCCCTCACTTCCCACTGCCTGAAGGCACCATGATCCTCACAGGGACCCTGCTGTGCTGACAGTCCAGCACCCTGATCAAAGGGACCCTGAGGGGGTGGTAACCTCTCTGAGTGTGGAGAGTTCCCTGCAATGAGATTCCGTGCATTAGCAGGTTCCCGCTCACACCAGGTTAACGTCTCCCCAGCTGTGCAGTCTCCCGACCCGCTTCCCTCCCTGCCAGGCACCCCCGTTCTTACCACCAAGTGTGCAGCAGGAATTCAGGCACAGGGATGCCCAAAGCAACACGAGCCCACCAGCTGTACAAACAGCAGACTCCCAGCCCCATCTGGGCTCCATGGGGATAGTAGTTGTCCTCAACTTTCATGTATCTAAGGCAAATTGTTTCTTCAGCTGGAGGCTATAGAGAAAAATAAAAGGTCCAAAACATCGTTCAGTGAGGAATTCCTCCAAGGACCTGACTCCAGAGTCTACAACCATTTGTGCTGGCCGCTCCCACCCCCTGACTTTGGGTGAGGTGAATTATTGATGAGCACAATCGCCGGTGGCCCAGCTCCTGGGCTTGGCTGCCCAGAGGGGGCTGGGGGAATGGGTAAGACCAGGGAACTCAGGAAGAGCACAGAGGCCCTGCCCTCACACCTCCGCACTTGTAAACCGTTCCCCAAATCTCAAGGCATCGGACAGAGTGCAGCCACCACAATAATGAGATGCTCCCATCTCTTCACTCACTCCTATCGGTTCGCTTACATGCTGAGCATCCACTGGGTCACAGGACATGACACACAGGATGGCCGATGGGACAGGCTTGGTACTTCCCCATGGATCCTGTTCAATCTGATGGAAGAATGATCACTCATAAATGGTTTCTCAAAAGGATACATAGACAGAAGACAAACTGCAGAGTGAATCAGATTTTAAAATATAAATGAAGATCCCCCAGTCTCCCCGCCTTAGGTTAACAGCATAAAGAAAATAGATCTTGCCTTTGATCACCAAGGAAGTGGTCACCCCCTCTCAGGAGGAAAGGAGATTTATTCTTTGAGCAGGACACAGAAGTGCTCCATCGGATTGGACCAGGACCTCTGCATTCATTCAGCAAATCTGTATAAGCTCCTACTACATATGGGAATCTAGTAACTATACCCGTTCCCAAGGGTCTTGGGCTTTATTAGTCAACAAAATAGACACGACTCCCCATCACTGGGGGCTCAGAGTTTTAGCAGAGGAAACAGGCAGCATGTTGGGGGTAGCAAGAGCTTGGGGAAAAATAAGAGTGATATGAGCAAGCTCAGGTGATGGTGCGGGGGTGGGAGGCAGCAGGAGGGAAAAAGGCAATCCTGGCAGATCTCACGGAGTAATGAACTTGAAGCAGAATAGATCCGAAGGAAGAAGGAAGAGCCGGAGCCAGAGGCCCCCAGAGTGATGGGGAGAGTGTGGTTGGAGAGGCAGAGCACGCCGGATCCTGGAAGACTTTGGGCCGACTTTGGCTCCTAATGAAATGGTGACCGTTTTAGTGAGTTTTGATGGGATGGGTGATGTCCAATTTATGCTTTTGTTTTGTTTTTTTTCGGGGGGGAGGGTAATTTATTTATTTTAGTGAAGGTGCTGTGGTTTTAACCCAGGATCTCATGCATGCTACGCATGTGCTCTATCACTGAGCTACACCCACCACCTCAATGTATGCTTTTATAGGCTCTCTCTGACTCTGTGTGGATGAGATTGTAGAAAAGCAAAGATGGAAGAAGGAGGCTATTTGGTGTCCAAGAAGGGGCTGAAGGTGGCTCCTAGGAGGGTGGGGAACAGGGAGTAGGTGGTTAATGAAGAGAGAGTAGCCAGAATTTTCTAACAAGTTGGATTTGTTGTGTGTGTTTGTATTTGTGTGTGTGTGTGTAAGAGAAAGAGAGAGAAAGAACATGGTTCCAAAATCTGGACCTGGAAAATGGGATGGATGTCCTCTCCATCCACAGGGGATGGGACAAGATGGGGCTGAGCAGGTGGAAAGGGGCTGGAATCAGCTCAGTTCTTCAATGTCATGGTTAAGGATTCTATTAGATATTGCCACAGAAATGCCTAATAGGTAGAGGAGTCTGGTTTTTTGTTTTCTTTCTTTTTAAAATTAAAAATAAAATTTAAATGTATTAATATTATTATGTGAATGAATTTGGAAATTTATTTCATGCCAAGTTATAAGTTATAATAGCCAAATGGAAAATATATCAGAAAAGGGGAGGAATGAGTGCTTTCACATAAACTGACTGTCCATAACGTAGGTAAAATTTCAATAAAACCAGTCTTCAGTGCAAAAACCTCATCTTGGTGTTCAATAAAATTAAATGAAAAAGGACTATGTTGATGTATCATTATTTCATTTTACATAATAGCCCCAAACACACTGTTTAACTATGAGGCTTGTAGAAATACTATTCACTTTATTGACATAAATACAGAAATGCAAAAAGGTTCTAAGGTAGAATAAG